TCTCTCTCTCTCTCTCTCTCTCTCTCTCTCTCTCTCTCTCTCTCTCTCTCTCTCTCTCTGTTTCAAGCGATTAAATAGAAATGATGATCGGGGTAGTGTACGATGGGTAGTGTTTAATCCGTTAGTTGGAAATCTAGACGTAACGAATGACGAATCGATGCAAAATTAAAACAAGACAGATTCATTTATGTGTTATATATTTTTATATCGTTAATTGTTAATTAATTACGTTAATTATATATCGGTCACGATTTTCTTAATTGGTAAATAATTTATTATTTACCAAGAGATGAGAGATTATCTTGATTGAAATTTAAATTCAAACTTTGATTCGAAATGGTTGAATCGTCTCGTGTTTGATGCAAGACGAAGATGTAACTAGATTGCGTATAATATTTCAACCGTGAACTATATGCTACGAGCACCTTGACAGAGCCAAGGGAAAATAGTACGTGTGTTTCTGTTACGGTAATAGATACGTACTTGTGCCCGTTTACGCTGATACTATATTTGGAATCGGTTAGACGAATTCCTAAATACGCGAGCATTCCGCTCGAAAGTTTCTCTGGAACGTCCCCACGCGACTATAATGCGCGCGCACACGCACACACTCTTCTCGCACACTTTTAAATTCGTCGCCCGATTTATAGTACCGCAACTTTCTATTATTACGTTTATAACTCGGTGTTGCCGTATTGTTCACACGATTCTAACTCTTGAATCCATATTTTGTCATCATCAGACACGTGTATATTTTCCAACGTGTATTATTGTCCGGTAAAAATTAATCAAACGACGGAGATAAAAATGGGAAAATTAAAAAATTACGTTAAAAAGGAAGAAAAAAAAATTTAGAAACTATACGTACGTTCAAACGTCATCGATCCACCGCTAAAAGCGATTGTGGCCAACCATTAGAAGCCAGTATCCCGTATAAACGCGGATGTCCCGCGGCAAGAGGTGATTATTACCTAAATTCGGTCCGCGGATCGATCGAACCAGTGCTCTCTAACCGTTCGTTACAAACGTATTCAAGAAACCGTCCGTCGACGACGATTCTCGTCTTGAGTGTCCCTTTCCGCGAAACGAGTCGCTTAAGAAACGAGCGAAGTAAGGAAAGGGAAAAAAGAAAAAAAAGAAAAAAGAAAGAAAGAAAAAAGAAAAAAACGAGGTTTCTATGGCGGTGGCTAGATTTAATGTAAAAAGAGAATACGGGTCAAGCTTTTTTTTTTATAGCGACAAGGGCAATCCCGCGATAATGCAGCACGATTCTTTCTCTCTGTGTTTGTCTCTCTTTCTCCCTTTGGGATTCTCGGTGTGTATAGAAGGAGAGAGGATTCATTGAAAACACACGTATTTTTTTTATCCGCAATTGGCCCAGCAGGAATCTCACCTTGAATCGTGCGCGTTCTCTAATCATGCGTTTTCAATGTTAGGTTATGTTTACACTGATATGCATTTGAATATCGTAAAATAATTTTAATAATTTCAAATAATTTTCTGGAATATTTAAGCGATAACTTGGAAGTTTTTTGTTGAAGGTATTTTCTTTCTTTCTTTCTTTCTTTTTTTCGCGAGCTCGAATTTCATGATTTCGATGTTCTACGCAGACAGTCCGCAGACTTCGAATTCGTTCGGATTGACTCGGCAAAAATCGGATACGTTCGGTTCGTGATTCTATTATTAAAGGTAACAGATCGAGATCGTTTAATTAATGTTGAGCCGAAATTGAGCTATTCTTACCGATCTTACCCGAATTTTTCCGATTTTCGGAAACTCGGATTCTCGATATTAGGAATCATTTCGCACATCTGTTGCGATCTGTTTTGTCGATTTTTACGTTTCGAGCTTTTTTTTTTTTTACTTATAAGAACAAATTATTATATCTATATAAATGAACTACCTATTTTCGATAAAATATTCTTCTATAACATTTCTAAAATTTTTTATATTCTTCTTTTGCAATCTTTTTCTTTCAAAATAATGATTATTTTGATTGTATGGTGCATTGGAGTAGAAGTTTCTTTGTTGAAATTTAATAGGAATATGGGAAATTTCATAGGAATATAGGGAATGCGAAAACATGGTAAACTGCGCGAATAGAGATGTTATTCTAAAGGAATGAAATTTTGTTGCTTTTGAACTTAGAAGGGAAGGGAGAAACCTGTATTTTTCATCTTTTGTTTATCCTAAAATTTGATCTATTTTCCTCGCATATATTTTTTAATTATTGATAGATCAAATTTATGATTCTTTATGATTCTTTATGATTCTTTATGCGAGAAAATATTTTTAAATATAATATAAATATAAATAGTATACACATACTAATCTTTTATTTTCCATTTTATAAGGAAAGAATTATATTCATTTGTAATTCTCTTTCTTTTATTCGAATAACTAAATTTTAGTTACACGTAGTGTAAAATTAAAGAACGCGTTTTTATCGTTATTCCCTCGAATAAAGCCTGTGTTGTTTCATCGAACAAAGATGAGTGCATCCGCGTTTTTGATAGTGTGAATACGTTATCTGGCGAATCGCATACGTAGAACCGGAAACGTTTATCGATTTTTCATCTAGCCATTTCTGGTATCGGTGTAAAATGCAGAGATAGGCCGACACATCACTCTATATTCAACGATCATATTCGTCAAGAAACATTTTTCGCATAAAGCGTATAAATCAATAGCTTTATTCTTATTCTTTTGTTTTGTTTTTTTTTCTTCTTTTGTTGTTTTTTTTTCTTCTTTATTTTTATTCCAAACGAAAACAATTTTGTTCGTATGATAAATGAAAAAAAAAAACCGTCGTATTTGCGTATTTATTTTCAAACGAAAATCGTTCGTTTTTTATCGCATTTGAAGCATTAAACATGTTTTGATCGTTTTTGCATAACATTTCAAAGGGAAGGCAAGTTGAAAGGAATTTCTAGTGATACATCAACTTTGCGTGTTTTACGATCCAACGTGATCTCTAAATGGAGATCATAAAAAAAAAAATATAAATTTTACATTGATAGTTACTTTCGAAGATTTTTTTTTCGAAGGGTTTTTTTTTAAATTTAGCAATATGTATAAATCTAATAATATGTAAATGTGTGACAATTTATTGTTATACAATGAAAAATTTTACGTGCAAAAATAAATTTGAAAATATATAAATTTTTTCACTTGAAAAGAAACTCTTCTCTCCATGATTCTTTTCGGGAGAATCGGAAAGAAGATAGAAAATATTAACCTAGGTCACGTCGTGATTATTAACATTCCGAGGTATCGAAAAATTCTTTCAAATCTGCCGCATAATCTAAAATTTATTCGAATTTATTTTCATAAATCTGCGAATTTACAGTTTCGAAATGACCCGTGTCAACTATCAAAAGTTCAATTTATGTCTCGACCTCAGCCTCCGACCTATAACCCCCCTACTGCAACAGAACTTCCGTTCGAGGAACGGCCCACCAACAAAAGACCTCCATATTGCCGTGATGTTCCGTGAACGAAATCAGTAAGAGATCGATATAAACGAGACTATCCTTTGTACGCATCTTGCGACCGCGAAATTTCTTGGCCGCACTGCGTTCGCGAGAGGGTGGCGCATACTCGTATGACGTGTGTGTGTAAATACGTGGCGGCTACGTTGGCCGCGGCCGGCGCGTACGCGCGACGAAAAGAGGGAGGGATCCGTTATTGATCTTCTCTCGTCGCGTACGAGCGGTTTCCCTTTCTCTTTCTCTCTCTATTTCCCGAACAGGGAAACGTATCGGAGCAGGGTCGGCCGAGCGATCGCGATGGTCGACGACAGCCACTCGCGACGAGAGCTCGACGCGTATTGAGAGAGGCAACTCTTCTCTCGCATTGCCTGTTCGGAACGAGCGTTGCGCGGTTCGGGCAGCCTGACCGGGAAGCGTGGCCAGGCAACGGAGGTAGCCGAGACGCGGCGAAGATAGCCGAGCGCGGCCGAGCTCGAACGTCGGCCGAGCGTTCGTCGTTCGAAGCTAGTGGCTCAGTGCATGCACAGCGGCCGGCCGGCGTGCATAGTCGGTGATAACGGCAGTGCGCTTCCGGCCCCTTTACTCTCTCTTTTTCCTTTGGGGGATATTCCTCTTTCTTTCTCTCTTTTTTTTTTTATTGCCACACTTGCTTCGTACGAAAACGTGTACGACGCAACAAGCATTAAGAGAGGCACCCTCGTGCTCGAGCCGACGTAGCCACCGGGCCTCGGGGCCCGGGGGCCAACCCGTAACACGCGGTTATGGAGCTCCTAGGCTCGTCCCGGTGCGGAAGCAGCTACGATATCTGTGCGCGGGCGTTACCCCGTCGTTCTTCTCTCGCGTACTAGTTGTATAGAAACTCCGCCGCGGCGACAACCAGGCCCTCCACACTCCGCTAAAGGTACCGCATCCAGGATATCGTTACTCGCGTTTCTCTTCTACGATGGACACCTCTTATCTCTCTTACGTGGTGCTCATCGACAATGGGATTTTCTGAGACTTTATACAAAAGACTTTGAAATCGGGTTGTAATCAATTAGAAGAGGAGTTACCGACGTTGTTCCATCTTTCCTTTATTTTCGGGTGATATTTCAGAGTGGGTGCATTTATACTATTTTAAAAACAATTATCGTGTTTCTCAAATCATCGTACACAATGATAAATAAGCGATCACGATCATTGATCGAATGTTAATCCGCTAAATTTTTCTCGAGTTGAAATCTCGTGAAAAGTGTTTCTTCGCAATGACACCCGTTCCCTTCCATTTCACCGCGAGATTTGATCGTAAACGACGAGACGATAGGAAACACGGAAACGAACACACGCAATCATGGTCCTCCCTTTTCTCTCCTCCTTGCTCACTCTTTTTCTCGTCTTTTTCACCATTTTTCTCGTGGCTCGTACACTCTTTGAAAGCGCACTCTCGCCACGCGGTTATAATTGCCGCTCCGTAAGCTGAAAAAAGAAAAAAAAGAAGAAGTCTCGGTGAAAAATCGAGGTCGAAGGGAACAAAGAGAATGGCCTTTGTTCTTGCCCATTTTTATTTCTCTTCTCCCCGGGGAAGAGAAGAGAGAAATTCTTGCTCCGATATCTTATCGAAAAAAAGGGGAAGGATCTCGTTGTTTACCTGACGTATCAGACGCCTCCGTGCCATTAGCAACGACGATTTACGGAAGAAAATCGACAATGTGGCTGCCACGATTCCAGATTTATAGAGATTTCGAGACGTGTCAACCACGTGCTCGACGTTCATCTCGATGCTTTTTTTTTTTGAAAGTTCGACTCGAGTTGATACAATTTAAAGATTGTAAATCTAGTTCTCTTTTAATATGATATGCAATTTTTGTAGATCAATGATTCAAGAAACAATGTTGTCATTAACAGAAGTGCTTGGAGAAAAAAATTTAAGAATTTTAACGCGATTGAATTGGATCAGGATGATTCAGGATATATTGTTGTTCTCATTGTATAACTCTTCGAAAGAACTTTTAATTATTAAATCAGAAAATCGAATGAGGATATTATAAATGATTTTTCAGAAAAGATTAATGTGAAAAGATTTCCTAAAAGGATTCAAGAATCGATATTGTCAATATGATTTGTATTTAAAAAAACGATAAGAATTCTTGGTTAAACTCATCTCGAAGAAAGTATCAAAATATAATTTCTTGAAAAATACTTAACGCGTTTTAATAATTGCATTGTATCGTAACATTGTTTTGACTAGCGTTGTTGACAGAATCTTTTCGGCGCTAAATATGAACGAAAAAGTGAAAACGGAATGCTCGATTCTGCAAAAAATTATCTTCGTTTGATCAATAAATTCTTAACATTTGCGTACACATATCCATGGGCCGTCGGCGATCCACGAAACGCGTTAAAATTCAAAAAGCCGTGTTCCCACGTGACACACGCCACTAAGAGACCTCTCAGGAATCGAAATTAACGCCTGCCTCGCCCTCATGAATAAAAATCGTTGGTTAAACGTTGTCCTGGGCAATTATTATTATTATTATTTTTTTTTTTCTTAAATTCTTTTTCCACGTCCAATACTCGACAAATAAAGACGAAACAATCGAATCATTTACGATTATTAAATTTCAAGAAATAACAGCCAATCCAAAATTTACATAACCGATATATTATCTCTTATTCGTAGAACACTATCAGAAAGTACAATAAAATTGATACAAAATTTCTACGATACATTTCTTCCTCTCTCTAACCTCAACCCAATCTAAATCTAAAAACTACGCACAGTGCGCTAAGAATTCCAAAATGATAAACAATTATTTTCAATATTTTATATATCCCTAAATTTAAAACCGTTATAATTTTTCTTCGTTCATCGAATATTAAAAAAAAAAAATACAAGAAAAGTTCGGTGGCGCCTCGAAGTTTAACCAAAACCTCACCCTCGTGCATATGTACGCGTATGTGCATGTATGTAATCGGTTTCAGTGACCTCAGTGTGTGCTCCTTCTGGTCATATCCCAGTTCTTCGTCCTAGGACCACGGTTGGATCCTATCTTGCTCGTAACTTGACGGCAATCGATAGTTCCCTTCGAAAGAGAGAGAGAGAGAGAGAGAAAGAGAGAGAGCCAGAGCTCCTCCCTCTCGAGTTCCGTGTAGACCCGTTTTCGACGTACTTTCCTGGTGGGTGCAGGTGATATGCGGTACCAGTGGCTCGCGTTTGGAAGGGACGATCGCTTGAACGGTGTGCCCGACACGGAATCGATCGCGTTGCAACCCGGCCAACCCGCCGATCTTCGATGATCCCAGGATGATGACGATGACGATCGTGTTGGGGTACGCGTCCGGAACGAGAGGTTCGATCGCGAGAGATACATACGAAACAGCTGGTTGGAGATCAGGTAGAATAGGACGATAGACTTCGATTCCTCCCGGGATTTGAATCGTGGGAGGAAGACGAGGACACGTGGCGATTATCAAATCATCGTGAAACAAGAGAGGAAGAGAAATTCGACGAGACGATATTTGAGAAAAATATACGCGTGATATACACATCCGGATGAAACTCTCGCGGAGCGAGCCGGAAGAGAAAAAAGAAGAAAGGGAGAGGGGGGGGGAAGGGAAGGGAAGGGGGGAGAAAAGAAATATCGAATTTACTTTACGCAAGCCGCTGAAATAATTATTAGCAAGAAAGGGGGAAAAGAAGAGAAGGAGGGTGGAAGAGGACGGAGAAAGCAGGAAAGCTGGCGTCCCAATCGCGCGAGGGCAGCTCGCGCGGGACTCGGACCCGTCGACGGACCACCACCAATGGCGGCTCGTTGTCAAGTCGAGGTAGCGCCACGGGGATGCAATGCGGCCTGTGCGCCGTGGTCGCTGGCCTCTTCAGGCGAGCGATGTGCATCGCGGGCAGCAGACGCGGCTCCGGCGAGTCTTGCTACCAGGAGATCACCCCGGAGACCCAGACGCGGCGACACTCGCAACTAGCGCCCATCGAAACCGGGCTGAAGGCTGCCGAGATAGCGGAACACGTTAAAGAGGCTGTTGAGACGCAGGAGGTGAGACTAATTTATCGCCCATCTATACGTACGTACACGCGGGGGCGGGAAGGGAACTGGACTGTGTTTACGTGCGCGTTTACGCGGAGCTTTGCTTCGCTCTCTGCCCGCCAGATGTCGCGCCCGAGTTCCGAGTCTCGCGAGTTTAAGCCTTACGTATTCGTGTATGAAGAGAATTGCACAGAGGTTTGTGAATTGTTCGGTCTTAATTGGGACCGTTCTATGATTTTTATGTGTGATCAAAGGTGAGAAGGGTGAGTCTAATATCGCAAATGCCTCGTATAATATTTGTATTTGGGATAACGAGTTGTAGAGGTTAGGTTACGAAATCGATAAATCCATAAATATTGCATCCACTTTGCTACCGATTGTTACATTGGTAAATATTGTTTCGCTTTCGAAACCGTCAAAGTGATTTTAAATGGAATCGATGAAAGGTGTTGGAACGATTCTCTCTGGTCGATCAAAGACGTTTCTCAAAGGGAATTGGAGAAACAAGGGCAACAATGATAGAATCGCGGTATTAATGCAGAGGTATAATTCAAAGAGGATAGGAGAGCCTCGAATGGAGATTAGCTTGCTAATCAAATTTTTATAAATCCAGTCCAGTTTCTCTTCGATAGCGCCTCTATATTCCCCCTATATTTGCTCCTCCTTCTCGCGATTGTTTCGCGTGGTTATTTGCATTGATTGGTTAATAATCGTATCGACATAATGCAAGAGGATAATGATGATGAGTTACGATCGTACGATTTTTCCATCTTTCTTTCCGATAGGAGAGAAATTTAAATTAAAAAAAAAAATATGAGATAACGAATGAATACTATTTCTTATTTTAATCTCTCTGCTCGCGTTTCGTTCCGGCATAAAAGATTAATTATACATTTGATCAATTTTCCGAATTAAAAATTCTGAATTTACAATTGAATTAAAATCGTGCTTGCTTAGCGACCGATGCAACTGTGAAATCGGTTCAATGACACGTGTAATGAGATTTCTATACATAGTTATACTTTCGAGGTAATTTAACAATATTTTGTTTAATTGCGAACAATATTTATCCACGTTGATGATAAATTTAATGAAAAATTTAATCATAGAACGCAGATATATAAACGAGTTAAGCGTCATTAAATTATTTAGAAAAAAAAAAGTTAATGAATTGATTCCATTTTCTTTCGAAACGAAAACTTTTCTTTTTTTTCATATAATTTACATTATCGATCATATATATTTTTCTTCTCGCATAGAACGTCTCACTTTTTCTAATTTTAATAATATAATCTCATCTCTCGATTATTTTTATTTTCTAAGATAATAAAATTCTAATTTATCTTTTACAATTAGCCATCCAAAAACTTTTTTGTGTACCTGAATTTATCAAACTTTATACATTTCTGATTTATCACCAACAAGGATGATTCATCATCTAAAATTTAAAATATAAAAGATATTTCGAATTCCTGCAAATACCCTGTAATACGAAGCACAATTTTTCCTTTCGTTCGTGGTTAACAGATATTCTTTTTTCTCAATTAAAAAAATTTTCGAGAAATTCGATCGAAGTATCTAAGTGTCTATATCAGCACGTATGTAATTTTAACGGCACGAGTAAATGCGATGACTAAAATGTCAAGGATCTGGAAGTACTTCAAAATCATCAATATTTTATGTGCCGTATAAAGTTTCTATTTCATTGGCTATTTTGAATCGTCAACATCCCTCCCTCCGCATATTAAGCGTATCTTTAAATCCAAATCGAGACGGCATCGTATCGTACACTTTATTTTGTAAATTTGTAACCCCTTGCCAATTCGATTCTGGCTCGGGTCTCGACGTCAGGATTCCGCGTTTCGTTTAAGAACCGCCCTAGATGCAATCATTTAACCTCGTCCTCTTCCTCTTTTTCCCCCTGTCGCTGTCTCAATTCCCTCTATTACCGCGAGAAATTCTCTCTTCTCCCTCTAAATTCCTCGTTTTATATGTTCAAATCGTCGGATAGAGATTGTGGAAATTAGATTACGCGCTCTATTCTTCAATTCTTTCCAAATCCAATATGATATATACATTTTAAAAAACCAATTTTTTAAACCAAAAATTTTTCCATGGTGTAATGATATCCTAGTCTCTTTTTTTTTTTAATTCTTGCATGGATAATTAATTAATTTTAAAAAAAAGTATTTGTAAAAAAAAATGGGGAGGGAAGGGAGGAAGAGAATCGAGGAAAGTTTCTTTTTGAAGCGTCCTAAATTTTATCAATGAATTTTATCAATGTTTAAATCTCATCTTCTCAGGAACGTGAGGCGAGTAATCATGTTATAATTGCCACGTGCTGGTCAATGTGCGTGCGTCATATCAATCCATGACCAGTCGCAAGCTAGTCGCATAAAGAGTTAATTTAAGACCTCCCTATATCATAGAGGCCACTGCACTTTATACGGTCCCTTGGACTGACCTTTCAGACCCTTATCTTCTCATATCATATACAATAAACGAGAAAAAATACAGAAATCTCATTTGGATTCGAAGGTGCAATGTCCGAACTTAGGATTATCTTTCACCAAAATCTAATAAATTATTAAAAACATGATTAATATCTCGATGTATTATCTTGTACATCTTTTTATTCGATATTCATCTTCGAATGAAAAAACACGTTCATTCCAATCTCAAGTATTCAAATTTCAATCATCCATATCGACAAAAGTATCGTTTCAATATTATTATCAATTCGACTTATGAAGATGACGTCCAATTGATTTTGTTACGTTATATGTATTTATACCTTTAACGCAAACATCAAACATTCAAATTTCAGTCACTAGCAGCATAGCAATTACTTCCATATCGTGCTCGTATAATACGAAGTTTCTGTCAATTTGGTTAATCAAACACGTGAACAATAACATGCAAACGATTTTCTTACGTTACACCCATAATGTCTATAATTTATCTCAAATATTATCGCAACACCATTCCCATACGATATTTCTGTCAATTCGTTCAGCTAAACATTTGAACGACACGCACTACGACGCTCAACGATTCTCTTACAACGTTGCAACGTCTATGTTCGAAATCACGATATATAATGGTCTTTTAACATAATCACTCGCGTGCCACGATGCTTGTCCTCCCCACTCTTACGTCATGACCAGTCGAGTACGCCTCCTCTACACGGGTGAGTTTACGTCGAGCGTGTAAATCGAGCCTTTCCTTTCTTTTTCCCATTCGCACCTTATACCGTTTACACCTCTGCGTAGCAGAGTTTACACCCCAGCGAGTCTAGGTCAGGAACAACGATGACGACAGCTACCAACGTTTGACCTTAAAGTCTAATTTTAAAATTCTCACCGGATAGGAGAGGATGAGAGAAAGGGAGAGAAGTACATAAGAGATGCAACACGAGGCACTCAATATGAAACACAACAAACATTATCGCACTTATCGACGCGACCAATATCGGCCGTACCGACCGAGATTCGAGATTTTTTCATTCGATAACGAAAATCGAGGCGGTGAAGCGTGGCGATGGATCTGTTCGTTATATCTGAAAAACTATTATTGTTTGAGATTGATAACAGGTGTGGACAATTTAAAAAAAGTGAATTTACATGAAAAAAATATGTATTTCGAAAATATACAGTACAAAACTTCAATTTCGAATATAGAAAAAAAAAAAAAANNNAAAAAAAAAAAATTATCGTGAAATTGATTATGAGGAAAAAAATTATTTTTTTTTATTTATTTGGTTCGTAATAAGAGAACTTGATATTAATTTGTATTTCTTATAAGATTTTATAATAAATTAAAAATATGTTCATTTAATTTTTTTTATTTTCAAGCTAAACATATTATAGTATCAAAAATAATTCTGGATAGCAATAAGTCTTCGTAGAGTCATCAAGATTACTGCATGAAATAGTAGAGACTAAATTAAAATATACTGCTACTAGATATACTTCATCACATTGCTTTATCACTGTGACAGGACTACTTAAGATTTTTACTGCTACTACTCAGACTACTACTTTTTATCCTATCTGACTTTTTATCAACAAAACACAAGTTCATTTTACGAATGTTGTCTACAACTTTCTCTTATATTAAAAGTCATAAAATCGATCAGACGTCAAAATTTAGCTATTTAGCCGTCTAAAGATTCGAGACTTGGAACTTCAGCTACTGTATCTGATGAAACATAGTATTCTCTTCATAGTGATATAGCGAAGACAAAATTAGTCTGACCTCAAAGTTTAACTTGGGGCGTATGGGCGTGTGAATTGGTGGAAACTTCACTGCCAAAGTTGTGTGAAGTATGTACGAACTTAGTAAATTCAACAAAGTAGTTACTCTTTCACTGTATAACATTTCTTTGTTTGAAAATCATAGTATATGTTGGTTTTGCTGATATATTTTTGAATATACTTTCTTCTATAATAATTTTTCTTGAAGAAGACGATATAAAGTATCTTAGCTGCTACTAATAACAAGAATATGAAATTAATCGAGCATTAAAATTTAATTATCCATGGTTTTTAAGTTTTTAGGCATGCAAGAAAAAACTTCTTTAAATAAGAAGATAAAGCTTAAAGATATTAATAGTTCAATAGAAATGTGTAAAAAAGAATTAGGATTTTATAAAATAAATAAACTTTTAATATTATCTAACCAGAAAATTTATGATCTACTTTATGAGATAAAGTCTCTTGAAAAAAAAAAAAACCAAAAATTTCTTTAGCTTTAATGAATAATTCCTCTATCATTACACATTTCTATTCTTATACATATCTGTTTAATGAAAATTTGATGAAAATTGATTTCAATAATTATCGTGAAAAAAAGAACAAGTAGAAAGAAGCAAAAACGTTGAAATATTTATATACATTTTTATTTCATACTTTACCTCGAAGTATAATACATACAAAAATCTTTGCAAAGACCATTATAGTCTTGCAAGTTTGTTCAGAATGTTATTAAACTTTCGAAAAATTTATTTC